ACTAGCTCCAAAAATTCTCAAAATGCGTATAAAACAAATAATTTTAATTTCTTCTACTTCCGCTACTTTAAAAAAAATAAAATAAAAAATCTTTTAGGTGTTTTTGTAAATATTTTTGTGCAGTGTAATGCTGTATCTATTAAAAAAAAAAAATCTCACTAACGTTTAACGCTTTTTATACAGGCCACTGGCATTATAGATGGAGGCCATTTATATCCCATGGCGTGCCCACCTCCAGCAGGTGATCCCGGTGTCGTAACGTGTCAGCGGTGGCCTGACATAAGTATAATAATAGTTAATAGAGCGTGATGGAGAGAATGGTATTAAACCTAACAAAGATGTGTCAAAAGCAAAAGTCTATGTCTTCATTAGCTTGATCTCCAAGGACCGTCGAACATTTCATTAGTTTGTAATTTATGAATGTTTGACAAATATTAAAGAGTATGTAAATATGAGAGGCATAATGTCTTTCCTGCGGGAGATGGCGAAATGACCCAAAGTCTTCGATACTGCTAGACTGATCACATGCATTATGATTCTTCTCAAACTGTGCATTTGCTTGTCTATTTGGAACATATTTCCCATCTGACGTGTGAAATAGTGCAGATAAAGCAATGATTCATAATGTTAGCAACATTTGCATCCCCTAATACTCTGTGTTATTTTGATATATGATGATATACTATCTCTTTTATCGAGTGTATAAATGCACTTTTGCCATTATGGCTTTGGCTAAATCAGTAGGAGGGTTTTTTGTCCTAAAACGGTCCATTTCCCTGTTCGTGAACCACTTCCAGCGCAGGAAAATCGTTATTTTTATTTTTTGTCTCAACTTCTTAGGCCATATAACATGGAGTCGTTTTGTTCTGTGCTGAAACTTAAAGGATAATACCTCTGGAACTTTGACGTGTCGGGCTTTAGTTGAATTTCATATTTTGGCTGAATTTCCACGACAATCCACACACCTGTTCGCCCACAACTGCTGCTTTTTTCAGATATCTGTGTCGCCAAACGCTCTTACAGATCACACAAAGGTCAACAGAATATGATACATTCAAGTTATGATAAATGACTGTCAGGTCGACTTAATCGCCAAAGGGCAAATCCTCAAATTCAGAATCATTCTTCTGCGTGATGCATGGCTCGCTTTTAAGAATCTGGACTTTGAGTAGGCTACACGAGCCTTTTTTATTTTGATATCTTAAATTATTTTATTTAGTTTGTTATTTTAAATATATCTCATGTGAGCCTGCTAAAGCTCCGCAGAAAAGAGCTGGAAGATTTCAGATTACTGTTTATATGCTGTGCTGCTGCAAAGAGAACTGTGTGGTTTTTAATCCCCCATATTTTCCCCCTCTTCATATGCACATGCAACACATCATGCCTGAATAGACCTATATGTTTGCGGCAACAAAGTTCTTCTGCATATGCGAGATGCCTTGCGTGAATGGAGGAAGTTGCTAACTAGAGAAGTCTTCAGTTCAGGCTGCGAGATCAAATGAGAGAAGGAGATCTCAGATCAAAAGAGAACCAAATAAGCGGGTTTCTGATTCATTCATGCAGCTGCATTGAGACCAAGGCCAACAGGCGTATCATACACTGAAAGGGAGCTGCTATTCAGAGTGCAGGTGTGAAGTATGTGGTACATTCTGCCATATAATGTGGAAGTTGTTAGAAATGCGTGTTCGGGCCTATAGGCTGCTAGGGGGCTGATTCACGTTGGAGGGAGGCCGCTCATCTATGGAAGTAAAACAACTTCGTTTCCTGAAATCTGTGGATGACGGTAATCCTAAAACCTGGGGAGTTGGGTAGAGGTGGAGGGTGGGTGTCCTATAAGGTCTTAGGGGCACTTATTTCTTTTTTTCCAGCTTCTCCGGATAGTGACTTATGTGAGGTTTGCCTGCTATATACAAAAGCTACCGCAGGGGTGTAGCCTTAAACCTGCCTTAACTCCGCTTGCTCACCTTTTTATATGCGGAATACAGTTAATCTAGCTTTAAAGGTTGTCATAAATCTTTATGACGGAAGCTCGTGGTAGCCTATACATCACAGCCACGTGATCTTGTACCCCCCCCCCCCCCCCCCCCCCCCCCCCACACTCAGAAACTAACCTTGTGGTGTTATTAGAATAAAATATTCAATATTCGTGGCAAGCTTTATGGTTGTAGTTAACTTGTGTTAACTTTTGACTTCACTTCTGCACACTCAAAGTCTAACGCTCCTTTACGAGGAAAAACTGAATACTCCTATACTATACTATAATAATATTTAGACGGGGGATAAAAATGATAAAACTATAAATAAATAAAATAAAATGTGTATAATAAACAGTAATATCAATACATCCTTTTATTCGACCTATGTTCCCAGAATGCCAGCTCTATTATAACAACGCTGTCCTGCCTTTCCGGTCTGTTTCTGGTGGGTCTATTGCACCTGTCCTCCTTGTCTTTCTCTTTATTTTCCCTGCCAATTTCGGCCACTTCATTCCTGATAATTATGACCTGGTTGGTGCTGGAGGTGCTGATGGCGGTGTTGGAGCGTGGGGTGGGCGTGGAGAAAAGGGTTGATGAGGGCTGGTGTGGAGGGGGTGAGAGAGGCTTTTACTCCTAGACTGCTAATCCCCCTATTAAAAGGGTTTTGTTCAATAATGCCGGACAGTTTCCGGAAGTAGGATTACCGCCTCCATTATTTTACAAAGAAATGATATTTCACACTCAAATGAGCCTTAGGACGCGGCAGCAGTGGTGAGAGGGTCTTGTGAGAAATGAAATGGATTCATTTTCTTTTTTGTTGCACACCCTGCCTCTTATTTTCTGTCTTTTTTTCCCTTTTAAACATCATCTATCCTATAATTTATGTGAATATGTGTATTTCCTTTGAAACTGCAGTGCCAGTTTCCTGTTTTCCTGCTCGGAGTGGACTGGCATTATAGTGTTGCTGCTCAAGTGGAGACTCAATCTCTCTCACACACACACACACCTGTTCTTTATTCTTGACCCTATTGCTGTTATCAGATCAGAGGTCGTCACTCAGCTAAAGGTGGGAAGCCCCGATGAGCGAACCCAATGGGATCAGTACTTAAAGATCCTCTCTTCCAGTTCTAGCTGACTGTGGTATCCACTGTCTGCGCGCTGGGAATTTAACTTTCACAATAAAAGCAAACCGTCGCCATATTTTATCTGTGCTGTGGTACAAGCATGCCAGTCCACTTAACACTCAAACTCTTTGGATTCACGTTGCAATCCAACCCTCTGACTGGAGACAGCATGTTTATTTTGGTCAAAGTTATACCTAAATGATTGTGCGTTAAAGGTCACTGAACTGTTCAGCACTGGCGCGTGGTTTTTATTTTGTCTAAACGAATTCCATTTCTCTTTGATCTCTGTCTGCAGTAAATATTGAAGGCATCAATACTTCGGCTGAAAGTTTGCCATACCTTGCTGACACACGGGCGTCAGGTTTTAACTCCCTCGCTTCTTTTTTGTAAAGAAACAACCCTTTTAAATGTTGCCTATCCTTCACTCTCAGCGCTGAATGGAAAATGTTTTAACGCGACTCAGTTAGTTCTTGTCCATATTGACGACTGGAACTAAAAGCTTTAGACGGCCCAATAGAGAGGAGCCCAATAGAGAAGAGCCCAACAAATCGGTGACAAAAGGCTTTCCGTGTCATCAACGTCGTTCAGACGACCTAGAAGAATCCCTCTGATACAAACTTCCACTTCAAAGCCTCCCACTTTCAATTGAGATCCAACTATCTTGTTGGTTTTTTTCTTTCCTTCCTTTGTTTTTTTCTCTACTGGTGCCAAAAGAAAGCAGCATCATCATCATCTTCTTCTATTCGGTTGGTTTAGCGTTTATTCTTTTCTTTCAGCTGGGCCCCTTCCACAGAGCAAACTGTCATGCACTTAACCAAACTCCATACACGTATTAGGGGAGTTGTAGCTGTGTTGTTTCCACCCACTTCTGCCTCAGTCAAGGCCGGAGTAAAAATGTCCCCCTCAGCCAAAAGTTTTCCCAGCACAGCAGAGATCTTCAGGTTTATGGCTAAGCTGCACATTTTCACTCCTCTTCAAGCTCCTTTGACACGTCTCGTTTTTATTTTATACTATAAGAATCTCGAGTTCTCTGCAGATGTTCAATGCTGAAATCATCCGTTTATACGTCTATTACTAACGTGCAATTTTCATTACATGCAGCCAAGCTCTCATGGATTTATATTTTATGCATAGAGCCTACATTATGATTATTGTTACATGTTTCCATTGAGCAGTTCGGCCCTCTTGCAATGCAAGTCTATTATGGTGTGGGACAACTGCGTTTTAGCGGCTTCTCCTTTGATTGTCGTAAAGTAGGCCTGCAGCAAAAGAATATATTTTTCTTCTTTATACTGCCCTCGTCTGCAATATAAAGGACATAGATTACCGTTTCCTACCCCATGGGAAGCAAATATTACATTCTTTAGAGCGGGCTTTTGAGTCCACGGACTTGGCCCCATATCATTTGAGTTTGACTTGGCTATTGCTATAGAAATCTTAATTCACCATGAGGATTCACCGTCGTGAAAAAATGGCTCTTTGTACAAAGTGTTCTTTGAAGTCTGGATCAGAATATTGTAGCCCTTCATCAAACTCTGCCCACGTCTGCATCAAACCACAGCTCAACTGAGAAAGTAAGACTTAACACAAAAGTGGAGCAAAATTTAAGTCGCCCCCTTTTAACAGAGAAAATAAAATCTTTAAATGTCATATAAAGGACGTTTCATTACATGAAGTTTCTTTGAATTTCAGCAGTTTTATCTGAAACTTAAACTCAGACATGGTGACATTATTACTGGAGCTTGCCTACAGGCTGTGTGTAAAGGTAGCAACAGTTTTTTTTTTAAAGGACATATTTTTCAAAGACATAAAAAAAAATATTTTGCACATATTCCCCAGGAAAAATGGCCACTTTTAGACTGATTGTAAATTCCACATAAACCCGAATGGCTCAGCAGAGTTTTCACTTTAGTCATACAAGATTTATTCAAAATACTCACAAATTACAAGGCAATTCGGTACGAATTTTGAGTGCCTCTCGATTTCAGATATTCAAAAAGGAAAAATATATATATTGACGACAATGATACAAAATCACAAAATGCCCACTTTGATAAAACATTTATAATTTCACGGTCGTATATCAAATACTGCAGGCGTATGAAACAGGCCGATTGCTGACCCCCAATGGCACAAATGGACGAAAATGCTGTAAACATAAAATGTTTGTACAAATAACTGCAGTAATCAGTAAGAAGCTGCTTTGAGGCAGATCCTTACAAAAACATCAACACATCGAAACTTACAAAATTTACAAATGTACATTTTTTTGGACCTAATTGAAACATGCACTTTGGTTCCATAATACAAAATCCTCCAAGAGCAGATTGAAAAATAAATAAAACCATATAGAAGTCAAAACTCGAATTTACAAAATAAGTTTACACCAACATGCCTAAGCCTACAATAATGCACCACATAGTCGGACGGATTTACACGACTCTCTCCACAAGTGGACCAGTGGGCCGTTAGGGCGCACAGGCACTGAGCCAACCGTTTGGATTTGCTGAGGTTTGAAAATATATTCTTTTATTGTGCCTGGAAATTAGCACGTCTTTAAGGTTTGCACATGTTCCTTCCATTGTGGTTAAATTGCGTCTCTTGGCTCTGGGTGTCTGTTCGGTGGCTCATCCAAAAGGGGGTTGGGGGGGACCAGTGGGCCCTCACAGGCTTATAGGCACCGAAGCCAAACCATTTTTAATAGTTGAGCTTTTTGAAAATGTGTTCTGTCACTTCTGTCACCGTGCTTGGGTCCAATTGGGTTAAAACGCGTCCCTCGGTTCTGGGTTTCTGTAAGGTGGCTCGTCTGTGGGGTCGGGCGTGGAGGGTCCGCTGGGTGGTGTTTGGGCGCCGCTGGCACCTGAACTGTGGCACACGTACCACTCGCTTAAATTCGCGGGCTGGGAGGATCCCACCGGCTCCGACAGCACCGATGAGCCTCCTGGCTCCCGGCCCAAGTCTGAGGAGGGGGAGACCAGGGACGGGGTGGAGGACTCGTAGCCTGAACTGGGCGGGGGGGACTTGCAGTGCACCTTCATGTGCTTCCTCAGAGAGCTTGGATGTGTGTAGGACTTATCGCAGCCTCTCACTTTACAGTTGTAGGGCTTATCGCTGGTGTGGACGTGGGAGTGCTTTTTCCGGTCACTGCTGTTGGCGAAGCGTCTGTCGCAGCCGTCAAACTCACATTTGAAGGGCTTCTCACCTGTGTTACAGTGATGGTGACACAAGAGAATATAAATCAACAAACTACATATCTAAAAAAAAAAAAGCAGTGATATTTGATGTTCACCTATAAGGTATTGTGCTTTTTATTTCAGACCCCATCCTCCCAGTTTCTAGCAGCTTGATAGAACAAATCTCTAACGTTTAAATACACCAACACTGTGGGTTACCCCACTTTATGGGCATGCATGGGCTTATAATAAACTAGCAACAAGTATCCATGTAGGTAGCCTACATGTGGCCAAAACATTTCAAAATAAATATATTTCTAAAGCTGGTACAATTGCAGCCACTTTGGTTATTTTTGTTATAGCCTATTTTCAAATGTCATTTACACACACACACACACAATATATATATATATATATATATATATATATATATATATATATATATATATATATATATATATATATATATATATATATATAGTATTAACAGTAAACACGCTTCCCCCTGCACTTACACTTTAAAAGTTTGTCTATTTGGACAGACCTGCCACGAGTCTCAGTCTGGTGTAAACAGGAGGGCTGAACCCCTACTGTCCTGGGTCTATACCTGGCGTCTGCATACGTCAAAACAGACAACCTATGAGCACAGAAATAGCAGGGCCCAAAACCAACTGAAACTAATGATAAATGAAAGTATCGACACAGCCAGGCTTCGCCTACTGTGTGCTAACGCAGTCTGTCTGCTGTTTGAAATCTTGCAAAATGGTTATGGACTGGGTCTAATCTTCCGTCTTAATAACAAGTATTTCTATCTGATTATGACAAGGCAAAAAAAAGACAATCTGAATAAATTACACGGGAATCATCCACTGCTGATTTTTTTCTCCTCCGATTAAAGCTTTTGAGAATATGTAATTGCCTCTGTCTAATTACACTTGCGGGTTGAATATCAATTTGACCTTCAGCTGTTGGGTTGAGAGAGCCAATCAAGGATATTAGTGTAGTACAAGAAACCGTCAAGGAACAGACCCCAGGGGCAGCCCCAGTCATAAGCACACTTTCGGTTAGGTTTTAAACACGATACGAAAGACCAAGCCCCTTGGGAGTCAACACACAGAAATAATTTAACAGATTTGTACTTAGGTAATGTGAGCAAATTATATGAATAATACATAGGGTGCAGAAACAGAGCAGAGGGGGAGTGCCATGCAGCCACCGGGAAAAATGAAAAGAAAAGTAATCATTGTATTCATTTACAAGTCTGACTCGACATTTTAAGGCCTTTCCCCCCCTTCACTAGCTCCACCGCACGTTATTGGTGCACCGAGGCAAGCAGCCATATTGTACAATTATATGTGTTTAAAGTTAAATCAGAGCTGCTCCATTGTACACACGTCATTTATTACAGACGGAGGCAGCTCTGCCAACCTGTTGGTGAATTATTTTTAGCCGCATGCACTTGTCAACTTGTTGCTTTGACTAAAGGCAATCAAAAGCTGATCATTCCAAAAGCATGCTTATTATTTCACCATGCATGTCCATGGATAACAAATATAAAGCTGCTACAATACATTTAATGGTATTACTCCCTTCTTTGTAGCTTTAAATGTCCATTATTATTATTTAATTATTATAAAACTGAAATTAAGGAGGATGCATAAAACAGCTACTAAACAGAGCAACAAGTGGCTGGAAAGAAAAAGAAAGCATCACTACCGGTTCATCATATCAGTTACACTGAATGTGAAGATGCACCTATCCAACTTTGCTGCCAGTCATATCTGGCATGCACTAAACTACATGGACGAGACCTGACATGGGCCTCAGTCTTTGTGCTGTGGTGTAAACAAGAGGTCGAACCGTCAAACGCCTGAGTGAGCTGTTCCCTAATCCCCAAGCTGTACCTTTTGTAAAACTTGGCGAGTGCTGATGCAACTCATAACAAACAAGTGACCAGTAGCTGTTGGCGTGTTGATGTACCAGCAGCGCAGATTGATTAATTGCCATGGCCCATCAGAGTATATTTTAAATTAACTTAAAATCAAAGACAGGAAAATTAAAGCTCATAAAAACACAACCTGAACCAATGTGGATACTATACAAAGCCTATATTTAATTTTCAACATGCGACTTGATTATTTTGTTTTCACTCATTATAGTGAATTTCCAACATTTCCTTTTGGCTACTGACCTGTGTGCGTCCTTTTGTGAATCTTAAGGTTCTCGGATCTTGCAAACACTTTCCCACAGCCAGGGAACGGGCATGGGAACGGTTTCTCCCCGGTGTGCACTCGAATGTGATTTACCAGTTTGTACTTCGCTTTAAAAGGTTTCCCTTCCCTCGGACACTCTTCCCAAAAACATATATGGTTCGCCTGCTCCGGTCCTCCAACGTGCTCCACCGTCACATGCGTTACGAGTTCGTGCATGGTGCTGTAAGTTTTGGAGCAAAGTTTCTTCGGCGAGAGCTCCGGCTCCAGCCACTTGCAAATCAGCTCTTGCTTTATCGGCTGCCTCATGTAGCGGAAAAAGGCACCGGCTCCGTGGTGGTGGTGGTGGTGGTGAGCGCTAAGATTCATGTTCAGATTCAGACCACCGTAGCCATGCAAAGGCGAGGCGGAGAACGGATCAGCCCTGGAGCTTGCCACTTGACTCAAGTGATCAGACCTAACATACATTTCTCCAGGTAGTCCTAACCTTATTTGTCCATTCAACGCTTGGCCACCCGGTGATCCGCTAGAAGGCTGGTCGTGATGGAGTCCGGAGAAGAGGGTATGATTCCCAGCATCAGGGTGATGACCATAGTGTCCGGGATAGCTACCTGTTGTTGAGACAAACATTCCGTGGTGAGAGGCTGAACCAGCAGTCTGGTCAGTCAGTACTGGCATGGCTTGAGCTGTCAGATCTCTCCGGATGAGGAAATCCCTACCTGCGGATAAAGCCTGGGCCGTGTGAGACATAGAATAGGGGACCGATGTCGCCTGAACCGGGCCAAAAGCTCCCGTTTGACTGGAGACCACTTCACTGTGGCCTGCCATATGATGATTGTGGTGGTGGTGATGGTGGTGGGGATAATGATGGGCTGGGCTGATTTTGAGGGCCGCGGAGTGCCCCATGTGTTCTGGCCCGAATGGACTCGGCCCCAGGCGGGGTTCCGCAGTAATCTCCCCAGGGTGCGAGTGAGCCATTGAGTGTGGATGGCTGCTGAACCCCGGGAAGCCTGTCACGCTCTGAGGGGTATGGTGGTGATGATGGTGATGGTGGTGAGCCCCTGCCAAGTCAACTAATCTCAGCGCCGTGTTCCGTTTGGAAAACGTAGGGTCCATCACGGGGCTTCCCAATGCATCCACGCTCATTACTTCCTAATTTTAGAATAACTTGACAGCAGGCAAAATAATAATGATGATGACAAATATATTTTAATCGCAATGAAAAATAAAGAAAAAATACTTTATAAAGTTAAGTCTATCTGCAGACTACATGGAATCCCATTCGGTTGAGAGGCAGCAGCAGGACGCTTTGATACTGAATAGAGATTCATGGTAGGCGCTGCAGCCCGTGGAGCTAAACAATCACCCTGCGCTCTAATTGGTCAGAGCTCGGTGATTGACGTCACCAGTGACAGTTTCCAACGTGAAGAAAAATGTCTTAGTGACAGCAAGCAGCCAGCGCGCATGCGCAGTGTCGCCGGCAACGCTTGAGAAAAATAGTTGTTATGCAAAGGTTATTGTACAATAAAAGTCCTAAAAAGTTGATCCAGATAAACAGTCGTCTTTCTTTTGTCGCAGCGAACAAAGGCTGAGCGCTATGAAAGAGCTATTCCCCCCACTTTGATTATGCAATTACAAAACAGACTGCCTCGGGAAGAGTATGCATATTGCCACTATAAAAGTTGTAAGGATCATAAATAATGCAGTGATATCTTCATCTTGCCCTGCAACGTGTGAAGGACAACTCTGCGCACAAATTACGCACAACTTTACGCACGTAAAAGATCGGCGTCCGCGGAGAAAAACTTGTCTACTTAACCAAAAGGAAAACTCCACGTGGGAGTTTAAAATAGTCCGGAGTACATACCATTAATACGCGCTTTGATAAATACCCATATTTACATATCCAGTCGTTTGCCCTTCAGCGCGTACCACAGTGTTGACTCCAGAGCTCTGCTTGGTGGGATCCGTGTGTGTAGTACTTTTGAATAGGGCGAGCTGCGGCCATTGTTCCGAGGGTAAAAAAAAATGTAATGGACGGGACCTGTTGTTATGATCCGGGGTAATTTTGCTTTAGACCCAGGATGGCAGCAGCTGAGGGTCACAGGAGGTGGTGCCGTTGAAGACTTAAGTTCAAAATAAAACGTGTGTGTACTGTAAGTATCGGTTACTACATATTATCCTGCAAAGTATAAAACTTGATCTTAGTGATTATTTTATGATTTTTGTCTGAATGCGTAAAAGAAAGCGGTTAGTTAAGGATCATAACAACATGCCGTATAAATTATCTACCGCTCACTGCAGATTTTTTTTTCTCCATGCACTTTTTAAACAGTCAGCCGACGAACAGGACCATTTAAAAAACCCAATGTGGGCTCATTAAATGTTGAGAAATGTTTGGATGTTACTGTACACGGATTAATCTTCAGCACGGTGGACATCTTTTTGTCTGTGTAACAAACATGAATGGCCGACATTTTAACTAATTTACTTGAATAAAATATATTTTTGTCTTGTCCTACTAATACACTTACAATTAACAGTTATTACTTTAATAGTTATGAATTTTTTTGAGTAGTTGCAGACAAAAATAAAGTGCGTGAAAGTGACCTGAAGAAGGTCACACACATCACTGATCACTTTGATGTCTAGTATCAAATGTGTATGCGTGTTATTTGACTTCTCCGGTCATCATTGGTAATTAGTGAAGGTTGTAAAACTACAACCTAAATTTATTGTCACAGGCGCTCGACAGTCTCTGAATCTCCTTTTTATTTTCGTTCATAAGAAAATCAGCTGGACATATGGATGACTGAACGTGTCGTCTTCAGATATAAACCAAAGTAAATCGCCGAATATGGTGAACAATGGGACACTCACACACAAAATAATTAGCAAACTATATTCCTCTTTGTTATTTCTCTGAATTGACTTGTCAAAATCGCTGCTGACAGCGTCATATCCAGCACGTTAGAAATTGAGTCAATATTTTGAGACATGACGGATCCAAAAGATGTTTATTAAATGGCCTTTGCGCATGGGGTTCATGAGGCTCACAGCTGTAGCCTTCAGAGACATCACAGCCCCAGCGTAATGCAAAACTTTGAAGTGCTATTTCTGGTCCAAGTTGTGCATGCACTCACATTTGGAGACAAGTAAGAAGGGGAGTTAGAGTTATAGGATCCAAAACCCCCACCCCCCAAAAAATGAATATTGCAGAGAGGACTCACAAAACGCTGCTTTTGCTTGTAGCTTCTTTCACTGTAAAACCTAATTAGCTCCTGGTAGCCATTTTAAATTCTACAGTATGACTGACATTAGGATCTTGACACTAAACGGTTATTGGCCTTTTAATTAGGACGTATCTTTATGCATGAAATATGTTAGAATCATTTTAGAGGCATGTATGTGGCATATACACTTTAACTGCACTTGCAAAGTTATATATAACTCCAACAACTCTCTTTTTGGCACGCAATTTCTAATGTATCGTCACTTGTTGCAAGTCTGAGTATATGACTACCAGTCTTGACTTTTTTAATGATATGCCATTCTTACCGTTTTCTAGCTGTTGAAAGGTTCCAAAAATTTGCATAGCAGAGTGGGCTACCTAAAACGGGGATCAAGTTGTAGGTCTACTTGTTAAGTTGAGAACAACAAAACTTCCCCTCTTTCCCGGGTCTGACTGACTGGGAGAATGCCTTGTGGAAACTAGCCTAGTAGCAGGAAGATATTTTAATGGTTCGCATGGCACGTTTGTGCATGTGGCTTTGAACTCTAGCAGCCGGAGGTTCCTGCAGAGAGCGCCGCAAATCCCACTTGATAACTTCGACAACCCACAACGTTTTGCACTTGCACACAGGCTATGCATCACTGGCCTGCACAAAAAGAGTAAGTTGCACAAGCAGGCCAAACCGTGATGGACACGTTAGGCATTCTATAGGATCCAAGTTAAATACTGGCCTATATATTCAAGGTAACCTGTATGAACGTGGGGTGCTGGTGAACGTGATGATGTGGAAATCTAAAGCGCAGATGTTGCACTGGTGTGAGCTCCAGTGGACGCGGAAACATTGTGTAGAGCGCGCACAAGCGTGAGACAACACGACGTTATTCCCTTAGAAGGGAAAGGGATACGCTGATAATAACAGGCCTTTAAAGAGAGTGTTGACAGTGGGCAGACTTTATCAAACCTCAGGGTTCCCCACGGGGTTCCCCAAGATAAGACGTAAAACGGGGATTTGCATACCTGTACCTCACACGCGTAATGAGGGTCCACCTTTGAATACTAATACTGTTTACCATCCTGTCAGTACATCCTCATTGCAATAAATTAAATCAGTGTCATTAGGTCTTCCTCTGGCTTTGTCTTTGTTTATATCAAGCTCGTGTCAGCTCCATGCTTTTAATCACTTATTAGTTTGGATTGATACACAGACAGATAGATAGATTATATCTGAGAATGCTTACAAAAACGTTGCCAATTACACTACCACAGGGTCTACTTTGTAATCCCCATGTTAACAAAGAGAATCTGTCACATTTGGGTTATAAACTGTATTGCAGTATGTGGCTGCAAAACGTGCTTTGACTTTCTACAAAGCCAGTTGTTGTCTAGTCTTTCTCAACTTTTGTTTTGCAGTTATTCAGCCTTTTAACCAAATTCACAGTCAGCAATCTCACAATATCTGGGATTGATGATGCAAAGAGGCCAATAGAAGTGTGGGCCCTGCACCGTGGATTGTTATTTGGTGAGTGGATGTTATTGGGGGGAAAGGGGCTCTGCCAATGAGCGCGCACCTCCGCGGCCACATGACTACCCCCCTCCTCTCCCATTCATCAGGGCTGGACTGTGTTGTCTTTTCAATTCATTTATCTGCAGGAATGATTGCGACTATCAGTCTAGAGCTCACCGCCTGACTGAGGAGGTGAAAGTTGCGCCACAGGAAGATAAACCGCAAAAGACAATATTGCATGTATACATGATTTTGCGTGTGCATCGGATGAGCTGTATAGGGGAATTCCTCGCGTCTTAATAAGTAAACAGAAAATCGGTGGATTGGAGAGTTTGCTCAGTCGAGTGAGGTCCAAGAGACAGAGAGAGGGGGAGGAAGAATATCTGTGCGTGATTTTTTGATTTCTGCTCTCAGTCGTCTCGGCGAGTCTAGACTGAAGATGCTCTTGGACGCAGGACCACAGTATCCCACCATAGGAGTCACTACTTTCGGCTCCTCACGGCATCACTCAACAGGCGAAGTCACAGAGAGAGAAGTGGCGTTGGGGATAAATCCGTTCGCAGATGGGATGGGCGCCTTCAAAATAAACCACAGCTCCCACGATATTGGCTCCGGACAAACGGCGTTTTCCTCCCAGGCGCCCGGCTACGCGGCAGCCGCTCTGGGACACCATCACCACCCGACCCACGTTGGCTCTTACTCCACGGCGGCTTTCAACTCCACCAGGGACTTTCTCTTCCGAAATCGGGGCTTCGGGGACGCCACCGGGGCGCAGCACAGTTTGTTCGCCTCCGGAAGTTTCGCAGGGCCACATGGACACTCGGATGCAGCGGGGCACCTGCTCTTCCCAGGGCTCCACGAGCAAGCGGCGAGCCATGCGTCTTCCAACGTGGTCAACAGCCAGATGCGGCTGGGCTTCTCGGGGGACATGTACGGACGCGCCGACCAGTATGGCCACGTTACAAGCCCGCGGTCTGATCACTACGCTTCGACCCAGCTGCACGGCTATGGCCCCATGAACATGAATATGGCCGCACACCACGGAGCCGGGGCCTTCTTTCGATACATGAGGCAGCCCATCAAACAAGAGCTCATCTGCAAGTGGGTCGAGCCGGAGCAGCTGACGAATCCCAAAAAGGCGTGCAACAAAACTTTTAGCACGATGCACGAGCTTGTGACCCATCTGACGGTGGAGCATGTGGGGGGACCGGAGCAGACCAACCACATCTGCTTCTGGGAGGAATGCGCCAGAGAAGGAAAGCCATTCAAAGCCAAATACAAACTTGTAAATCATATCAGAGTACACACCGGAGAAAAGCCCTTTCCGTGTCCGTTCCCCGGCTGTGGCAAAGTATTTGCTCGATCGGAAAATCTAAAAATTCACAAAAGGACTCACACCGGTAAGATCCGCACAGATTGAGCGCTTTTTACAGCCAAATCCACGCTGACAATATCCCATCCAAAATATGCATGCGATCCGGGTTATTATTTATTAGGCAGCTGGAGTCTCTCCACTGGCATGTGATTCAGTGCAGTTGTCAACAGAAAATATTTCATATGTTTAAAACAAGTTGTGTTATTTTAC